CTGATAGGCATAGAACTTGAAGGGGCTTTCGTTAAAGGTAGATCCATATTTGACAATATTTTATCAACCATCCAGGCTCTAGAGGTATTGGCCGAAGACCAAGTTAACGTGGCGATCCTTCTCCTAGACATGGAGAAAGCGTACGACAAAGTGGGGTGGGCTTTTGTTTTCACTTCGCTTGATAAAATGAGATTTGGGAAGGGTTTTTGCACCTGGGTAAAGGCTATGTACACGAAGGTCACATCTGTGGTATTAGTAAATTGTCGCCTTTCCCTTAGCTTCTCCCTAACGCGTTCACTCAGACAAGGGTGCCCTTTAGCCCCCTTATTATTTGTCCTACAGCTAGAGGTCCTGATGCATAATATTCGCTCCAACGATGCCATAACGGGCCTCAGCATCCCCCATTCCATACACTGGAAAGGGGGAGCCCTAGCTGATGACCTCACCATCGCCTGTGCCAACACAACCCCCTCCTTCCAAGCGTTGAGAAGTGTCATGAATGAATGCTGTCACCTGTCTGAAGCATCCATTAACTGGGAGAAATCCGCATATCTCCTCCCGGACCCCTTTGAGATATGTGTAGATTGGGGGCTAAAAAAAGTCACATCAAACAGTTCGGATAGATTCCTARGGGTCCAGATCTCCCTCTCCAACTGTTCGGCCACGAAAGATGCCTTACTGGTGGAAAAAATAACTGCACGGATCATGGGTTGGGCAAGGAATTTTAGACTCTCCCTTTTTGGGAGAGCCTTAGTAATCTCAACAACGACTTTTTTCATACTGTGGTTCCCCTTGACAGTTCACTTATTAGGGGAAGAAACCTACCGCAAGATCAAATACGTGGCGGTGAGATACCTCTGGAAGCCCGCCGCATCAGATATAAATTAGGCTTGTAACCGGCCTCCTTCGGATGATGACCACTTCCCTCCACCAGTCTATCCCTCTCCTCAAAGGGGGGGGAGTCCGCGGGGGGGGGAGGTAGGTTGGACCGGGATTCGGTTTTTGTGGGTGAGGACCCAGGGGAGACCACTAGGGGGGGTGGAGCCAGGGGGGTGGCTGGAAGGGGATGGGCGGGCGAGGATATTTCCATGTCCTGTGAACCCAAACTCTTCCCTTCAGACTGTTCCTGTTCCCCTTCCAACCTTCCCTGATCCTTTATCCCATCACCCCTTTCCTCTTTTTTTCCCTCCCTTAATTCCCTTTCTTCCCACTCCTTTGTTTTCGATGAATCTCGCGAGGAAGATGGTGTGACCTTGGTCTTGTTTCTTGTCTGATTATGAGTTCTTTTGAGTTTCCAATTATGAATGAGCGGGGATTTATTCTTTGATTTCTGAACTTTTATCACATCCTTGGATCTCTGGTGGGGATCAGAACGAGCCTTCTCCTTGAATAGAGGTCCCATCCTCCGCATGTTTCCCTGTGACACAGGGTTGCTGTTTGTTTTCAGTACCGGACGGACAGGGTCTTTCTTCCAACTGTCACCTGTCTGAAGCATCCATTAACTGGGAGAAATCCGCATATCTCCTCCCGAACCCCTTTGAGATATGTGTAGATTGGGGGCTAAAAAAAGTCACATCAAACAGTTCGGATAGATTCCTAAGGGTCCAGATCTCCCTCTCCAACTGTTCGGCCACGAAAGATGCCTTACTGGTGGAAAAAATAACTGCACGGATCATGGGTTGGGCAAGGAATTTTAGACTCTCCCTTTTTGGGAGAGCCTTAGTAATCTCAACAACGGGTTTTGCCATACTGTGGTTCCCCTTGACAGTTCACTTATTAGGGGAAGAAGCCTACCGCAAGATCAAATACTGGACTGCCTTGTCCTTTGGGACTACGACTGTGGTTTGTTTGCCATCAGCGGAAGATTTGTCTTCAGCCTTTGATTTCCCCCTTTTTTTGCTGGGGCTTTCTGAGACAAGAACGTCCTTGAAGGATTTGTTGTGGCCGTTGAACCTCGTTTGACAGGACAGGAATCGTCAGTTTCATAATGGAAATACCTGCGACATTTTTTACACCAAGGGATATCGGGGCAGGTGATGTTGAGGTCCACCCACCCGTCGTCATTCAGATCGATGATCATGTGCTGTTTATACCAAACTCTGGCAGACACTTCCATGTAAAATCTCACATTCCACAAATCCGGAGCAATCGGATCTGCAAAAGCATCGTGTGTTTTAATTATCTTCCCAAAAGCCTTTTGAACTGCTCCTTTCAGATGAGGTAGGATTGAAATTGGTACTTGAATGACTTTCACCCAGAAGTATCTATACTTTTGGGCCTCGTTTCATTCGTACAGTTCGTTCTTATTCATCTATGGACGAAATCTGAGTGTGCTGTTTTTCATCCAGGTCAATTGTGTCAGTTCCTTTTATGATCATCCAGGAGGCAACTTCCTTGGCGCTTGCGACGTATGTTACGAGGTTTTTCCCATCGCACCAGAAAACACCCCTTTTTGGGGTTACATTAAAGTCTGCAGTGAGGGACCAACCTTCCTCGTAAATACGTATCAAACGGTTTTTCACTGAGGCAGGGAGCGAGATAGCATGATTGTCAAACTGGACTGAGGCAGCATGCTTATATAACCATTCAGCCTGAATTTCATAAAATTTCTGGTTCACCACTACTCTAACAAAGTCCTGGTCTGTGTCTACTATGCTGGGGTCATACTCTTCAGGGAGGATACCCTTGGCATAGCAGTTTTCTATTATGCCTCTTATTCTTTTTTTTTCCTCTTTGGACGGACCAATGTTTGGTGGCGATGACTCAGACATTTTGCGGTATGCAGATCAGGTTAAGGCTTGTTGAGGATGAGGTCGTTGGATCACGAATGTGACGAGAGATAATCCCCTGCACCCTGATCTTATGGGAAGGTGGACATGCAAAGCTACAGGGAGCCCATCCGCTGGAGAAGGAGGTGAGAATCCCCTGGTGTGAACTTACCAATGAGCGTTGAGCAGAACATCAGCACACATCCGCACACGTTGCTTGCACGGCGAGGGATATTTTGAATCGAAGTACAGCTTATGCTCAATTGGTTTGAGTCTGTAATTGGATTACTAAGAAGTGTTTGGGTCACGTGGATTCTTACTTGTTTCGCCGAAATAAATGCCCAAAAGAGAAAAGGCCAGATTAGTTTAATCCCCCCGATGTACCTCCCACGGGGTAGGTAGCCCTGTTCCCCTGTAGGCACACCGTTGAGTTACTAACCTTATTATTCCTCATATGGCCCGCTATATGCCGAAGTGTAATATCAGTCATGTTTTCCTCTTTGTCTTTAGAGTGCATAGGATAGTTATTCAGTCTATGATATACCAGTCGAGCAACATTGGGGATAGGGGACACAATTTTTACCTGTCCTTGAAAGGATTTACTCTGTGGATGTTTAAATCCTGCCCACCCAAAAACAAGGCTGAATTCAACTTTGACATCAAGATAGAAAAACCACCCTTTCTTTAGTATGAGGGAAGAGGCAAGGAATATAGGAAGCACTATCCTCCCTCCTTCCTGATCACATCAGTTGATTCACAGGCAGTGCCAGTTGGAAGGGCCGTTACCCTGTCTAGTCTTCACTTTGGTCCGATCAAAAGGATAACGGGAGCTTAACGGGAGCTTACCTGGCCGCGAGATTGATGTGAGGATGATTGGCCTGTCCCCGGCTACTGTAATTACCCAGGCCCGCTGGTTGTTACCATGATAGTAGTTCGAAGTCTTCGTTGCGAAGACTGTGGAAGAATCACCTGGTGGTCAGAGATACGATCTGGTGGCCAGATCCCTTGTACGCTGTCCTCCCGCTTGAATGGCTCTCTCACAGCCCTTCGCCCACTTCCTCACACCGCCTAGTTCCCTTTGTTGAGAAAAAAAAAGCTTACTCAGACCTGCTGAGTACCTAGCTTCTTCTCCGAGGAATTACAAGCTATGGCTCGAACGAGCTAGGCCTAGGAGAGTTGAACTCCTCCGAGTCTCTCCGCACGCTGAACCTACCTATGATTAGGCACCATGCCCGATAGCCTACGTGGTTATGGCGTGAGACCGTCAACGTTGTTGAGACGTGAGCAGCTGCACGGAGAGATCGAAGTAAAAAACCTTTCAGCCAGCGGTAAGATTTCCCTGCACGGAATTACCGCCGCCGAAATTCCGGAGAGCCAATATTACATGAGCTGCGTTAGAAAACGCCTGGTGTTACGTGGTTGTCTCTTGATGTCATGTTCCCCGACCTGCTGTGCGTACGTCCTGGTCATGACTGGCTTGCATATCTTGGTATAGATTTCCCACCTCAATCCTCCCTCCTCAATTTCCTTTCCTCTCCTCGCCCCTTTGCCGGAGGTTGTTCAGTCCAGCACTGAGCCGAGCTCCATCTTCGAGGATACTCTAATGCGAATCGAGTACTACGCAGCGGAGCTCAGATACCTGCGTATGAGCGGAAAATGTGCCTAGGGCCAGGCGTCGTGCCTGGCAGCCTACTGGCTATGGCGTGAACGGCCTGCTTGGCTATGGCGTGGAGACACAGGAGGGAGAGACCTACGGTAAGAATTCCAACCAACGGTAAGATTCCTTCACGGAGTTACCGCCGCCGTTGTTCCGGAAACCAAAGTGGTGAGTGCTGTTGCTAGCGGTAGCGGTAGCGCTTGGTACCGCTGGGAATTAGCGCAGCAGAATAGCGCTACCGGGCCCCTTCGCCGCCAGCCCCCTCGAGATTTCGTCATTGAAGTGACCGGCCCCAGGTAACTCAAAATTATGTTATTCTGGTCAACTGATTCTGTCTAGATTTGAGCCTGGGTCTGTATTTCAACAGTTCATCCATGGGGTGTACCAACTGAGCTACGCCTGTTGGTTCTCACCAGGTTTGCCCCGCTACTTTGTGGACAACTTTTGCGGTATACCCCGACCTTTCGATGCGGTGAACTGTTCCCATTGATTCCATTTCAAATTCAGCTGGACAAACCAGATCCATTCCTTTCCCAGGTCCTGCAGACTCGCAGCCGACAGATCGCCGAGAGGGGGTTGGCTGCCCCCAACGAAGGAAGAGTCCTGCGTGGGCAGGCGAGACTATCGCTATCTGGCAGCGGGAAGAAGAGAGAGAGAGAGAGAGAGAGAGAGAGAGAGAGAGAGAGAGAGAGAGAGGGGCCGCCATGCAGATCTTTGTGAAAACCTTAACGGGTAAGACTATCACCCTTGAGGTGGAGTCGTCCGATACGATCGACAATGTGAAAACGAAGATTCAAGACAAGGAGGGCATTCCTCCAGATCAGCAGAGGTTGATTTTTGCGGGCAAGCAGCTTGAGGATGGCCGCACTCTTGCAGATTACAACATCCAGAAGGAGTCTACTCTGCATCTAGTGCTAAGGCTTCGAGGTGGAGCGAAGAAAAGAAAGAAGAAGACCTACACGAAGCCGAAGAAGATCAAGCACAAGAAGAAGAAGGTCAAGCTTCCTACCTTGCAGTTCTATAAGGTGGACGATACAGGAAAGGTCACCCGTCTTCGGAAGCAGTGCCTTAATCCGGAGTGCGGGCCGGGCACATTCATGGCCAATCATTTTGATCGACACTACTGCGGCAAGTGCGGGCTCACGTACGTGTACCAGAAGACCGCTCAGGATTGAGGCTGGCGGGAGTAAAGATAGATAGATAGATAGATAAATAGATAGATAGATAGATAGATAGATAGATATCCCCTCGTTTGTTGTCTTCTTCTCTCTCTCTGCCTACGGTTTACCGGGCAGTTCTGTTTGTGACGATATATATAGAGAGAGAGAGAGAGAGAGAGAGAGAGAGAGAGAGAGAGAGAGAGAGAGAGAGGACGAGCGTTCAGTGATAACGTCGAGTTCAAAGGCATGTCTATTTCGTGAACCAGAAGGCTGCGGATGGTGTACATCTTTCTATGAGCCTAGTTCCACTACTCGCCATCCGCCAATATTTTGAATGCCCATGGATGGAGAACCTATCCAGATGCATTCGAAATTTTGGCGGATGGCTAGTAGTGCAACTAGGCCCTATCAAAAGCACCGTGAATAATGGTTTGCTGATATCGCAACCGTCAGCGTTCAATGGTTGAACTTGATAACAGAAACAGTAAGTATAAAAAATAAAAAGACAAATCGGGAAAAAAGAAAAAGAGGTTGTTGAACTTGACTACAACGCGAAAAAAAGGGCAGCTGGCTCAACTGTAGGACGTGAGGGTAGGGGGCGTTATATTCGAGACCGATGATTATTTTTCAGTATGTTTTATTAAAAAAACACAAAATAGAAACTGCTTGCCTTTCCAGAAAAAACTGGAACCCATGGATTTGTCGCCAGTGTTGCATCTCCTAAGTCACTCTTCGTCATACGTAGTAGAAAGCTCATCGTGCGCCTGCTCAACGATGCTAGTGGGACATGGCCCCGGGGGCCAAGTTCTGGGGGCCAAGTCCCACTAGCAGCGTTGAGCTACCTCAACGCCTGAATTTGGACGTGTTTGTGGAGATGTGCAGTACAGCAAACTCAACACCATTTCTGCACATCTCCTCAAAAGCGTCCAGATTCAGGCGTTGAGGTAGCTCAGCGATGCAAGTGGGACACAGCCCTGGTAGCAGGGGGAACCCCACGCTCCTTTTGTGTTGTCGTTATAATAAGTATTAGGGGGAACCGCGTAGCAGCCACATCCGTGGTTGGGATTAACGAATTATTAGCCTTAAAAAAAAAAAAAAACCGCCGCTCCACTTTCACACGTAGGCGGTTTTTCGCGTACACATCGGCAGTGCCTGTTCTCTCCGTAGGGATTAACGAATTATTAGCCTTGAAAAAAAAAAAAGAAAAAAAGAAACCGTCTAACCGTAGGGAGATGGCGGCGGCGGACGAGAAGCGGTGCGCTGTTAATTAACAGAGCCCAAAATTTTCAGGAGGTTTTTTTTTCAGGAGGGTCATTATTTCAACGCTGTGTGACTGTACGCAACAACGGAGATGCACGTCGTCCAAGTCATCTAGCGGTCCGTTTTTAATAAAAAAGGCAATAGAGACTATCTTTGATTTTTCTTACAACAAAAAGCAGAAGTAAATCCTTTCTCTCGAATGCTACTCCCCCTACCCTCGCCACTTTCCCTTGAGCTAGCTGTCTCCTTTTTCGAGACGAAGCCGAAGCTTACCAGACGAAGCAGAAGCTTACCAGACGAAGCCGAAGCATATCTGTCCTCGCCGCTTTCCAGACGAAGCCGAAGCTTACCCCTCGCCAGGCTTGTTGGTGGCGTGATCTCGCAGAGTTCGACTTTACCATCAAGAAGATTACTGGGGAAAGCAATCGCGTAGCTCATGCCTTATTTCGCCGCCCCGATCTTCAGTGCGATGATCGCCAGCTCTCTGCCATTTCATTCCCCGTCATCCACCCCGCTTTCCTAGATGAGTATCGGTCGGCATATCCCCAATGCTCCGAGTTTCAGTCCATCTACGCTGACTTACAGGCCGGCAAGACTGTCCCTAACTTCCAGCTCGACCCCTCTGGACTCCTATATTGGCTTGGTCGCCAAGGTAACCGTACTCCCCGCTTATGTGTCCCATTTGTAGGCCAGCTTCGTGTTCGAGCTGTCGCTGAGTGATACGATCAGCGTGCTGCAGGTCATCTCGGTATCCTCAAGACCCTTGACCGACTCTACCGCCATTAGTACTGGGAGCACCTCCGTCCTTTCACGACAGAGTACGTTCGCACCTGCAGGACCTGCCAGGAGGCCAGCATTCCCAACCACCCTCCCTATGGCCTTCTTCAGCCCTTACCCATTCCTACTCAGTGTTGGACCTCCGTCTCTATGGACTTCATCGGCCCACTTCGTCCCCCTACCCCACGAGTTTACGATGCCATCTTTGTTGTTGTCTGCCGGTTGACTAAGCATGCTCACTTCCTCCCCTGCAAGTATGCTAGTTCAGCCA